GTGCCCTGACTTAGATCAGACCAGAGGTTGTTTCAGGGATTGATCTGTGAGTTAGCAGTGCCCTGACTTAGATCAGACCAGAGGTTGTTTCAGGGTTTGATCTGTGAGTTAGCCATGCCCTGACTTAGATCAGCCCAGAGGTTGTTTCAGGGTATCAATAAAATAAGATTTTCTCTTGAAGGATATATCATACCTTGAAGCACAGCTGAGTATTATCGTAAGGTACCACACGATCCATTATGGCCACTGCATACTCAAAACCATCATTTGGTATATCCTGGAAAAAATGAAGAAAGAAAGAAATAAATTGATGAAAGGACGAATGAAAAAAAGAGTGAAAAAGAAAGAATAAAAGGGATGGAAATAAAGAAATAAAAGGCATGAATGGATGGCACATGGAATTGAGGATTTAAATTTGATACTCCAATTTAGAGTTGCTCAGGATTAGCCTCTACTTTGTGCAGAATATTCCTGTGTTCCAGTGAGGATTGGTGTAATTTCAAAGTGCGAATTGAAATGATCCAAATTAACCTTTAATTTGGACAGGAAAGAGTATTTGAAAATAATACAATAGCTGCTCATATGGGATTATAGAGCGATGATACAATTAGAGGTCAGTAAATGAGTCTGTAATCAAGGAACACAGCGGGATTCAATAAGACAAAAATGGGTATTTTATTTAATGGTGGAGATACTTATTATAAGTGCATAAACAATCAAGTTTCAGATGCACGTGGGAGACTGATATACTTTAACTTTAGAATCTACAGTAAATCTAAGTAATGGTGAATGCTTAGCATATGTATATCCAGCTCTGAATGCACACAGGATGTTGCTATAAGCATAAAACAATTGAAATTGTTCAAGCATAGTCATTAGTGATGCTATAGTTTCTCTAGTGCTAAGACAATTATACAAGCGTTCCATCCATTTCCTTTTCATAGGTATCTAGCCAATCAGTGTGTGGCTATGATTTTGATACAGACTCACACATACCTGTGGCATAGCAACAGGGGGTGGTGGGGCTGTGCCACCAATGCTGACTCTTGATCGCGATACAGAGGAAATTGAAGAACAGGAAGGAGTTATCTAAAAATATGCAAAACAACACAGCAATAAATTATATAATTATTTTTCCCTGTTTTTATTGCTGTTTGTTAAAAGAGTTGTGCCAAAAATATGTTAATTAGCATTGTCAATCAAATAAATTCTAAGAGTATGGTTCCCATCTAGCTTATGTACTCTCACAATCTATTTGATTCTCAGTACTCTACTGTCATTCATTTAACCTGTCGCAAGAATGTCTCAAACTGCACATAATAGGGCTTCTGACAGAATGCAGAGAAAAAGTTCAAATTATGCTGGTTTTYCCCCCTGATTATATGGGGGAAGAATGGCAAATTATGTGGGGGAAATGCGGGATTACTTAATAATAACAACAAAAAAACACTTCAGTGCTAACAATTTTGTTCTTTTTTCATAAGTCTACTACTTGTGATCGTTTCTTAGAGTTAAGCATCTCGATCTTGCATAAAATCTGAACGTCATTTAATTTACTGCTACCACTTTAAGACAAACATTTATAGCAAAAAAAAATGCTGAATAGTAACGAGCTAGTGCCATCTTGAAAATTACTAGTTACCAGACCCTATAATGATTTCTAACTTGTAGTTTTCACAATAACAAGATGGCGTAAGATAAATAGAGTTTTACGATGCTTGTTGCTTCAAAATTTAGCAAGTAACTTTTAAAAAAAATTTGCTTCTGACCAAAATCAAGGGTTGCTGATTTATGATACATTTTCTTCTTGATCTTTGAGTTTTCTTTAGATCTTTGACAAATTATGTGAGATTATGCAGAACGAGTTAAATTATGCRGATCCGCATCTACACATTCTGTCAGGTGCCCTGACAGCAATGAAAACAGTGGTTAGTGATAATGATCATTATTATTAGGGTGCCATCATCATCACCATCACACCTTGATCATTCATTATCATCATCATCAGCAGCAATGCTATTGCAGTACTAATRCTATCACGGCACCAATAGCTATAGTTACTAAGCCCGATAAGTTATTTCCTGGGTACTTTACCATAATCTGTAATCCTTTCTCTATAGGTGTAAAAACTAGAACTCTTTCATTATATGGTAGTAACATTGATTGGTTACAGTAATAATTATACAGCTTCTCATTAATCCCATATAGGTAACTGTCCAATTATTTTCTTAATTGGACAGGTCTCGTTGATATGGGATAAATTAGGCAGCTACATAATTAATAGGTAATGGGATTTCATGCTCCCCAATCAAGAAATAATTAGACTCGAAAAATTCCTCTGACTGCCAAATTGGACTCGGCCTACCGCCTCATCCAATTTTGGAAGTCCTCGGAATTTTCCTCATCTAATTATTTCTTAATTGGACAGCATGGAGTCCTATTACATATACTAATAGATTGATTCATAATAATACCAATGATGACAAAAGGTATTTCTTGGATATTAACATTTCGATTGAAATTTGAAAATCAAAATTTTTCTTTTCTCAAAATTTGTGATTTTTTYCCCAAAAGTCCATTTTTAACACAAGAAAGTGAAACAATGAGAGCTAGAACTGTACTATTTGACCGACAATGATGTTAGTATTGAATCAGATCTAGAACTATAGTGGTTAGCTGTTACATACCAACTGCACGTATGGTTTGGGAATCATCCCCTCTTTTCCTGAACTGTCTCTCGCTCTCCACCAATGTTCCTCTTCCTTTTTTATCACCGTTAAAACATCTCCTTTTTTGAAGGGTAAATCCTCGGGATCCTTTCAATAAATAAATAAATGAATAAGTTAGTGAATCATTTGGGTTTACAAAATAATAATTTGCTAGACCCCAAAAAAATCAACTAATTTTTCAAATTTTTTTTTTTTTACCTTTCCAAGGAAGTTAAACATTGCTTTAACTTTTTCACAGTGTTCATCAGGTTTTGGGACCTACAAAAAACATTATTTTCCATTATCAATCATTATTATTACCATTATTATTATTATTGAAATAATACAGTATATCACTTTTGATTTACTACTAGTACCCATGCATGCTCAGAGAATGGAGCATTGTGCTGACACCATGTACTGTATATTTATGCATAGCCAGTGGACAACAAGCTTATGGCCCTCATTTCATAATGAAATTATAATAATGTAGAGTCTAATTTTGTGGAGGGTAGAAAACTGGAGAACCCAGAGAAAAATCCCTGAAGCATACATGTAGGAAAAAAACTAAGACAAGTCTGGAATCGAACTCATGACGGATGACCACAGTTGTAAAATTAAGAGGCTGCACCTTATTAGCAGCACACACATGCATGAATGGGGAAAAAATGCTTTTTTATCTTTTTATATGATAAAACAAATAGAATTAAAGCTTATCTCCATCACTGCTAACCCTTCTCTTTAAATCCAAGCATATAATAACTAGCCTATTCTTCTGGGCCTGGTTGTAAGAAGGGTGGATTGTGCTATATCCAACGGATAAATCTTTATCCAATGGATAAGTCAATGCTTTTATCCAATTTTATCGGTCGAATAGCGGTATCCACTCTTCATACAGTACAACCAAATCCTGATTACTTATTAACTATTTATTATTATTATTATCATTGACTTACTGGTTCTTTCAGTGTAGTTGTATCCAAGAAATGTTTTTTATAAAAATCAATGATATCTGGAATGTCTTTGAAAGTCTGTTCTCCTATTTGATAGCATGATCCTTTGAAGTTGATAATGTAATGGCTAACTTTGGAACTTTCGCTGCAACAATAAAGGAAATAATTTCATTAGAACCAACAGTTGTCATGCATTACACTTGGCTTTTATACATTGCGCATACAAAATCGAACACATAAGAAATTAATTGTGCTACTTAAACAAAAGAAAACCTTACAAAGGGTTTTGGATAATCTAGCTTACTGTTATTCTTATCTTCAAGAGTTTAGTTTTAGCGCTATAGCACCATATGCAAGACATTTAGGCCTAAAAAAATTCGCAATTATTTACTGAGATTTTAACATTGTGTAGTTCCAAAAATTATCCATACCCCCCTCTGAGGAGTTTTTTAAGACACCCCCCTACCCCCGGAAATTCCAAATTTCTTCCATACAAACTCTGTAATTTTTGTTCCTTCTCTGACCCCCCCACAGTTCGGAAATTCCAAATTCCTCTGTGGGGTGGGTGTGGATAATTTCTGGAACTACACATTCTTTGTTTGTCTTTGTTATGTCAAGTGAACTGTGCTGAGTAGAAATTCAGTTTTCAACTTTATCTATTATTCAAAAAAGTATGAATAACTAGGCAATAATCAAACATTTGATTGACGTCAGCCAAAAATAAAAACCTAGTTCCAATTCATGTACTGCTAAAGCGGCAGTGTCTAGCTGCCATGTATCAGTATTATTGAAAACAAAAGTTATTTGCCTGCACTTTGACAACACTTGTCACTTTGTTGGCATTTTGAATTGTCTGGCAAGCAAGTAGGAGGTTGATTTACTAGTTAATATAACAGAAATTTGTATTGCATGTTGTGCAACAGCATTTGATGGGCAAAAATATCAAATGTTATGATATCCACAATATAACACAGCAGGCCTTATTATAATACATGTATATATAAGGGTAAACTAAGTTCATTTACATCGTTGAGTAAGACTTTCTGTTGTTCTGAAACTTTATGTCACATTTCTAAATAGACCCATTCAGCTTCAAAGACATAATGTCTTCCCATTTCAGACAATCAGCACATCATATCCTCTTTGTTATAAAATTATTTGCTTAAGGTTTAAAAATACTTAAAGGAAAATAATGCATGACCCAAAATGGGAAAAATTTCAGCCCAAGCTTATAAGGTGGCTCAACCCCCTCACGCTTGACCGCTACCTTCCACTTTTGGAACGCTAGTGCATAAACGTCTTTTATCCGATTGCAAATCTTTTTTGCACATAAGTCACATAAAGATTGAATTAATATTTGATGCAGTTTTTTATGAGATCGGATGTCATAACACGTGATTAGGATGACATATTT